ACCCATCACTCTCACTCCTCTCCCTTGTCATTTGCACCCCTCTCTGGCTCCCTGACATGCTTTCATTGCTTCTCTTCTTCAGCCACCAAACTAGAAGGACTGGTGGAACCCAGCTAGCTCAGAGGCTTTGTGGTCAGGGTCAAGAGGATGAAGATGTGGGAAATGTTTAGCACACTGTCCGACCCTTGCTGGGCTCCGGAGAAGCGCCATGCCATTGTCCTTGGTAAAACTGAGTTAGGAATTTTGCCTCTCTAAAGAGACTATGGTGAGTCAGGCTAAAAAGTCAACCAACGAGCCTCACCTAGCACAAGATAGTGCCGGGGAGAAGAGATAAAGATGGGTTAAGCCCCTAAGTGTCTACTCCAGACAGGGCAGCAAGAGCCATAGCACGGTCAGGCAGGCACTGCATGGGGCCGAAGCTCAATAAACGTTCAAGGAAGCTGGGTGTGGTGGCACATGCCTGTGATCCCAGCACTGAGGAGGCTGAGCTATGAAGGTTGTGACTTCAGCTCTGCTCTGGGAGGTAGAGTAAGATCTTGTCCTGACCTAAGCCATGGGAAGAAGTCCCCACCCAAGGGAAAACAACCACCACTTCCCCAAACATTCTAAATGTGGAAACAAATCACCCCGACTGCTTACGCTGACAATGCCCTTCTCCTGAAAGGCTGCTTATGAAACCCACAGAAAATCAACATCAGGAAGGAAAAGAAGGGAACCACAGACCAGTGAAAAGAATGTAGCAAAATGGCACGAATAAATCTTTTTTATAATGTATTTTATTATTATTTTTAAAGATTCTTGTTTATTTTATGTATGAGTGCTCTATCTATCTGCATGCATGCCTGCATGCCAGAAGAAGGCATTGGATTCTAGTACAGATGGTTGTGAGCCACCATGTGTTTGCTGGGAATTGAACTCAGAACCTCTGGAGGAGCAAACAGTGATCTTGTCTATAGAGCCATCTCTCCAGCCCTATTGTTGTTTTTAAATTTAATGTCTGCATATCTGTATGTGTATATATACATATATATGTCTGTATATATATATGTATGTATATATTAATGTATATCTGCACATGTGTGTGTTAAGCCAGAAGTGAGCAGCTGCACCTCAGAATCAGTAGTTATAGGTAGATGTGAGCTTCCTGATGGGTTCTGGGAACAAAACCCAGGTCTTTTGAAAAAGGAGCAAGTGCTCCCTATTACTCAGCCCCTTTTCCAGTCCAAGACCACTCTTTCCCACCCATAGTTACTTTCAATCTGAACGGATTAAAATTTCCGATCTAAAGGTAGAGATGCCTCAGTAGGTGAAAACTGAAAATGCTTTGCTGCCCAGGAGGCACGCATGTGGCCTGAAAGCAAAAGGACAACAGCATTGCTTGTGAACAGGGATGGAAAGAGACTTTCAGTGTGGGAGAGGCAGCAGAAAGAGCGTGAGAGCCAGAGGGGGCAGAGGACACCAGCAGAACAAGGCCCTCCACATCAGCTGAGCAAATCTCACATGAGCTCGCTGAGACGTGAGCAACGGGCACAGGCCGACATAGCCCTGCACAGGTGCTCTGAGCACATGGTATGGCTTCCAGTTTAGCATTTCTATGGGGCTCCCGAGCAGGTGTGTGAACAAGTGGGTCTCAGGTTCTTGTGTATTCTCTTGGGCCCTTTTCCTTCTACATGCCCAACTCTGATATGGAAGTTTTGCTTCATTTTGTTCTATTTTATTTTGTCATGTTTGGCTGTTATCGCTTAGATGCCCGTTCTTTTCTAATGAGAGACAGAAAGGGTACCCATCTGGATGGAAGGGAGGTGGGGGAGGAACTGAGAGGAGTGGGAGGAGGGGAACTGTAATCAGGATATATTGTATGAGAAAAAAAAACCCATTTTCAATAAAAGGGGAAAATAAAGAAATGTACTTCTATTAGGCAAAACAGAAGGTTAGTAAAAATCTGTCCCAAGAAATGAAGAAGGTTATTTATTATATAACTGGATGATGGGAGGAGGGCTGTGAAACTTCGCCTTGCCGTGATAACACAAGAACTCTGAGCTCAAGCGATTGTGATTGCCTCCATGGGGCCTGCAGAAGACTGAGGCCTTACATATTTGGTCCAAGATCAAAGATCAAAGATCATAGGTCACCTTGCTCAGGGGAGTGTAAGGCCAGAAGAGAGCTGCTGAAAGAGAGGAACTCATCATTTCTGTGCTGTTGTCACAGGTGAGTTACTCAAATTTCAGGGAATAACTTCACATCCTATGGTTAGGCCCAGTGGGTCACAAAGCAACAGCACAAACAAAGCAGGGAATGGGACTGGAACCTTGTGGGGGAGGAACTGATGGAGTAGAAAGAGGATGGGAGGGGGGAGAGAAACCGGTGACCAGAAGATTGTATACATACATGAAACTGTCAAAGAATAAATTAATAAAGGGGAAAAATTACAGTCAATAAATTTGATGAATAGAGGTGTAAACATTCTCAACCAAATACTTGTAAATTGAATTTAGCAGCATATAAAGAGATAAAACACCATGACCCCTTGAGAGGGAAATTTATCCTTGGGTGCAAGGATGGCTCAACATATGCTAAATGAGGACAGGGACGCCTTAACAGGTCCCCTAAGTGGACACATCAAAACCATCAGACAACAACCAATGTGTTTTTGTGACAAAAACTGTCAACAAGCTAGGAAGAGAAGCAAAGAGCTTTAGCACAAAAAGTCCACATAGACTGAGTTCACAGCCTACATCATGCTCAACACTCTAAGACCAGAAATGGGACGTGGCTTCTCACACAGTAGTACCGGAAGGCCTAGCCAGATCAGTTGGGGGAGAATAAGAAATAAGAAGCACCCAGATCAAGATGGATTTAAATGATCTCTGTAGATGGCGAACCATTACAGCTAACAAAAGATCCAGCATGGTTAAAGGATATGAGATCAATACACAGCGGTGCCCTGCATTCCTATACAACAATAGATATAACTATCAGAAAGAAAATTAAAAAAAAAAAAAGACATTTACAAAAACTACAAATATGGGAAGTAAACTTACCAAGATGTCACATGACAAAATTTGTTGTATGACAAAAAAAAAAAAAATCTGCTCTCCCCAGATAGCGAATCCCACAACAGACTGAAGTACGGCTAGCATCAAAGTCTGAGTTGGTGAACCAATGAGCTCTACGGGGTTACTTACAGGAATACGGGTAGAGTTTACAGGAGCAGAAATGACTCAAAGATAGCTGCCTCACCGAAACTCAACCCCTACATGGGTGACAGCTCATAAAATCTGGGAAACCCGGAGCTCACTGCACAGCCAGCAGGCAGCTCGACAGATTGGAGAGTGTCCTTTTCAGGTGCCTCAGTTGGTCTAAATCTCATCCAGGGTAACTTGGCTGGTTTCTGCTTTTTACAGGGAGTTGGTCGGGTCTCATGGTTTTTGCAGCTTGGCTTCCTTCTGAGAGAGACTAAGCCTTTTCTTGTTTATTCTGGCAAGGAGGGGCCTAGTGAATCTGGTCAGAAAGGACAGGGGAGAGAGGGAGAGGAGTTATAGCCTGAGAGAACCATGAGAGACACAGTGTGAGAGAGCAAAATGGGGAGGGAAGCAGACAGACAGAGGGACAGGTAGAGAATACAAGAGAAGAGGGAGGGGTGGCAGAACAGCTGCCTTTACCTGGCAGACTGCAGGCTGTTAAACCACCTAGAGGCAGACCAGAGGGGCTGCCCATATGCTAACACCTGCTGATCAACTTCTAGTAGCTCTTTTCCTTGTTACTGTCCTCAAACACCCAACAAGCGATCTGAGGGAGATAGGGTTGTTTGGGCTTCCTCTGGAGGGACACAGCCCACAGTCCATCACTGTGGGGACGCATGACACCAGGAACGTGAAGCAAGTGGCCAGTCCCCTAGTATTCTAGTCAGGAAACAGAGCAGACAGCAAGTGCTGCCAGGCGATCACATACCAGTCCCACCCCAGTGACCCCCAGAGAGACACCATCTCCTGATGCTCCCATGACTTCTAAGCTACTCTATAAACTGGGGGCTGAGCGGTTAAACAACAATCTTTGGGGACCTTTCAAACCACTACACAACTATTAGTTATACGATCATTATATTACTCAATATTACACTTATATTGCTCAACATTAGTTTAAAACCCAAGGGAAGAGGAATATAATTACACCCTCATTATGATAGATAATACACTCCCTTGTCTTATCAAATATCTGTAAAGCCAAGGAACATGCCCCATCAAAGGAATTGACTGGCATTTCTTTCCCTAGAATGGCACATCAGTTTCCAGTGTCTACTGATCATTTCTGTGACGTGTGTGTGTGTGTGTGTGTGTGTGTGTGTGTGTAGGAACTAAAGTAACTCCTCACTCCTGATTTCCTTTCATGTAAAAATTGGAATGTCCTTTCCACGTTGTTTTTCAAGTGTTTTTTAGAGGAAGGAAGTTAGCTCTCAGCTAATGTGTGAAAACCAGTTTGTTCTGGCAATTTTCACACAGAAAGGTGCTCAGAATCAAATCAGTTCTAACTGTACATGGTCAGAGTTCTTAGTTTTCTCTGTGATGCCCTGGTTTTGTGTTATGCTTTCAGAAAAAGACCTCTCTTGAAAACCATTTGAATTTAGCAACTTCCTGAGAATTTTGTTAGTTAAAGTTTACACCTAAATATGTGATTACTCTGAAACTGACTCTTGTGCAGAATTGAGGAAACAATACAGAATCCTACGTCCCTGGCAAACAAACCCAGCAAAGCAAAATTGGTGTGCATCCTGACACATCAGAGCCAGGCTTTGGTTCCTGCCTCTCTCAGGTCCTTCCTCCCACCCTCACCCCTCCCCATGTGAATTTTTCTATCTATTCTCATGGCTTTATTTTTCTAGACAACATTTAGAGTATTTTTTTCATGCTCTCCAAAGAAGTCCTGATGTTGTTTAAATTGTTCCTGTCCTGAATTGCAATATCAAATGTCTAGGGAACTGGCACTATTAAGAGAATAATGGTAATGCTTGTGTGTGTTTGCTCAACTGGTGGGCAGAGGCATGGGACATGGGTGCGAAGACAAGTCTTCTGCAACCGAGAACTCATCATTTAGTATGAATTTTGATACATATAATAAGGAACATGATTTTAAAGATGAATTGATGGTTTTGTCAAAGAAATTAGATTTGAAAAGGGACCAATGATATTAAGTCATCCTAAGTATGATGATATTTGATTGATTGAAATAGTTTTTACGTCCAGAGTTTGAAGCTTTCTTTGGTAGGCCTTTGATTTATTTATTCTAGTTTTATACTTGGAAATTCACTTAACAAGGCAGGATTAAAAAACAAAACAAAACAGACCCTCCCTTTTTCTTTTATATAGCCCTGTAAACATTGAATGTTTCCTTTTTTTTTTTTTTTGTGCTCTCATGACATTTGACAGGGCATCTGATCTGTTAACAAGACATGCCATCTATAGCAGGGGGGCCTCAAAACTCACAGGAAAAAGTCAACGTGTTCCTTAGAATTGAGGGGCAGAGGATATGAAGGGAGGACACTAGCAGGGTGTATAATCCACCCTTCCACTGCTAAACCATGCCCAGCTCATCACAAGAGAAGCGCATACTAAACAGATCCTGGGTTCTGAGGCACAGCCTAGCAACAGAGCACATGTGCGCTATGCTATGTTCGAGGTCCTACACCGAGATAATTTTTCACATAGCAAATTGGGGGAACCCCCAAATTTGGAGCAAATGCTATGGTCTGGCCTATGGGAAAATGGGCAAACCAAACACTGTTGAAGCTGGGGGGGGGCAACAGGACACACACTCTTGGGGGCAATTTGCCAACATCTGTCTGATTTTGAGAAGCATATGACATTTTGTCATAACACTTTGGAATTCACTGTATGGATGGGCTCATTAACATCGGAACAGACAGCTAGGATTATATTTTATAGTAAATATTAGGAATAGCCCAATGTGTATTGACAAAGATCGCCTATATAAAATATGGTACATCTATTCGGTAGAATACTATACGGTTGTCAAAAAGAACATCAAATGTACAAATATAGGAAATGGGTGAAACCCAGACAAGCATTTGCAATTAACTGTATTCTGTGTAAAAGAAGGCAAGAAACTACGTTTGTTTCACCTGTTTACATGAAAATTAATTCTGGAAGAAGGGAAACTAGAGTTAAAGACGACACTTAAGATTTTTACATCATGTGATGGTATCACATATTCAAACAAGTATTTTCTGAAGTATTGTCAAGAGGTGTGTACTGGTGCTTTGGTCGATGATGGCCGACGTTGATGATGACGGGCCGTGAGATGACACTGTGGGGGAGGATCCCTGTGGAGTTGTGTTACATCCCTGTGGAGATGGTCACGTGTGCAGGTGAATCTCCTGCAAAGCGCAGCACTCCATCGTGCTTGGTGATGGGAACGATGAGTTGCTGCTTCATGTACCGTCCTGTCCTGTATATCCTTAAAGCATGCTCGCAGTACATAAAACTAGGGAAACAATCTGCTTTATCCCCAGCAGCCCCGTAGACCTCATTCTTCCTGCATCGCTTGGTTATATTATTTTCTTTCCTCATTAATCTCATGTTATTTTATTTAGTGTGGCCTTAGGAGCAATATGCTACACGGTAAATGTGAGAGTACATACACACACACACACACACACACACACACACACACGTGTTTATGTGTGAAATGTGTAAATGTACATGACATTTATCTAGACAAAATATAACTCGGATACATGTATGTATACACACAGAGAGAGATGCCAACAATCTAGGTGTGTATTTAGCTATAAATGCATGTGTGTAAGTCTGTGTAGCCAATGATGTTCACATGAGAACAAAATTGCCTAATGGGCATTTCTCAGATGTGCGGCAGTTGTGAGGGAATGCTGACTGATGTCAGGGAGAAGACGTGAGGTCACCTATTCTTTCTTCTCTCCTCATCCTTGGAGACCCGCATCCTCAAGTTCAAATGGCAAAAATTGAGTCCAGCTGTCTTTCGACGACATGAACTTGGTTATCCACCTTCCTAATCCGAACGCAGGGATGCAGCACAGGCTGAGATCAGGGTTGTAGAGTGTGGCTGCCTGAGACAGGCCATCCCTGACTTGTGGTTGTCACAGCAGTTTTCCAGTGCAGAGTTACTGCCTTAGAGCAAACCCTGGCTGGCTGCTAGTAATATGGGGATGCTCTGTCTGTCTGTCTGTCTGTCTGTGTATCTCTGACTCTCTCTATTTGTGTCTCTGCCTCTCTGTCTCTGCCTCTGTGTTTCTGTCTTTCTATCTTTCTGTGTATGTCTCTGTCTTTCTGTCTCTGTTTCTCTGTGTGTCTGTCTCTGTCTCTCTCTGTGTGTCTCTCTCTGTCTCCCCCCTCTCTCTGATTATTAAACTGAAGCACACTCCAAGATTCTTTAGTAACCACAAATATCCCAAGAATGCACCAGCTCTGCTCTCAAGGCCTGAAGCCCATCAACCCTGACTCACAGCCTCCCTTCTCGATCTTTCTATGACTTGCACCCGGGATGAATGGCCTGAGGCTGCACATTTGAGACAACATCTCTTGCAAACAAATGAGGGCAAAAAAGGCCATGGAGGGGAAAAACTGTGCTTATTTCTAGCTAGGAATTTGTTTAAGGAATTAAAAAAATGAGTAAGAGAAAGGAATGTTGTCTTAGGAACAATTTAGAAAAAGAAGCTTCAGATAGCTTGGCAACTTCCTAAAGCCAGCATGTATTCATTTAAATTTGTATAAATTATTATGGCAGATAACACAGATAGGAGGGTTTCGTTCTGCAGAGATTTTAGAGGATGAGAGAATTCAAGTATTATTTTGTGAATGTGGCAAACTTCAAATGAAAGAGATTAATGTCATTAATCTCCTTAAGTATTAGTGTTATCTTGGATAGATGTGATGGCACATGTCTTTAACCCCAGCACTCAGCGGCCAGAGGCAGGCAGAGCTCTGTGAGTTCAAGGACAGTCTCTTCTTCAGAGTGAATTTTAGGACAGCCAGAGCTACACAGAAAGACTCTGGCTCAACAAAACAAAAAACCAAAACCAAAACTAAAACTAAAACAAACAAAACAGAAATAAACAAAACAAAGGAAAGGAATTACTTTCCTAACAACCTGAGTTCAGTCCTCAGGATCCACAGGATGGAAGTTGAGAAGTTGGCAAGTTGCCCTCTGACCTCCAAATGTATGCTATGGCACATGTACCCACACACATACACAGAGTAAGAAATTTAATTTAAAAATGTAAATAAAATTGTTCAAAAATACTCAAAAATCATATTAGTGCAAGAAGAGGACCAGATGTTGTAGAGCATGGGTTGGAGAAGGCTAGGGGTTCTCTGAGGTGCCAGGCTGCCCACAGAAGCAGGAGAACTGAGGGCTTCTGGGAGAGGACATAGAGAGGGACCCTAGTGGGAAAAAGCCTGTGGTTTAGTCCAGCGTGTGCCAGTCAGCGGGAACAAAGAGCTCTGTCCCATTTTCACTAAAGAAGGAGAGTGGGAGGCGGGACCTGACAGACCTTCACAGGAGACATGCTCTGGGTCTGCTACAGTCTGCTTGCCTCCTACCTACAGGCTGTCAGGACTGATACTGAGTGCACAGAAATCCATAAGGAATCTCAAACACAAAGACCGACACCTAACCAGACAGCCACAACAGTGGTGGAAGGTCAGAGATGAGCCAAACCACTAGAGAAGTCAGAGTTCAGCCCAGGATGTGTGTTTACTGAAAGCCGGTGCGACACATATCACAGGTGTAGCCCTTGGGCCTCGGAATTCACATGGAGATGTGAGCAGCTGGTAGTGACAGGGTCTGGCGGAAGCTGAGAGTATGCATTTCTTGATCTATCCTGTTGTTACTACGCCAGATAGGGTGGGGAAACACGCCGAAATAAGCTACCCACTGAAATGAGGGCAATCTGTGCTCTCGTGGTAAAACTTGCTGTCAGTAAATATCACCCTCATGCCAGGGAACAGACCGAGCCATCACATGAACTTCCCCATGCAGGGTCTCAGGCTCAGATCTCCAGCACCTCAGAGGCCCTTCTCTACCCAACACCACGTTAGAAAAACAAACAAACAAACATACAAACAACAACCAAAACAAAAACCCTGGGAAATGAAGCTGGTGTGGTGCAGAGCAGAAGTGACAGGGCTGAAGGAGAGCTCTGTAATCTGGAATATCAAGCAGAGGATGTAGTCACAAAGAGGATAGAAGGGGAAACAAAGAGACATGGAGGGTACAGCTGGCCCCAGCTGTATGCACTCAACAGTGAGTGCAAGACTGCCCTTCCCTTCCATACCAGTATCTGCAGGAGCTCAGCCTGTTTTTATAAAATGATGTAACATGTACATGTGGCCCAGAGAAGTCTGAAAACATTCCATACAGAAGTCATACTTTTTTGACAATTTTGTTTGCCCTTTAGTTAGTTGAATGAACAAATGGAGGCTGTGGATCGGGAAGGAGCTCATGTGGGCTCCTTTTTTAGCAAAACAAGTCTACAATAGACTTGTAGAGGGATGGCTTGCTGGTCATGAACACTAGCTGTTCTTACAGAGAATCTAGGTCCAATTCCCAGCAGTCATTATGGTGGATTGCAACAGCCTATAATTCTAGCCCCAAGGGATCTGATACCCTCTTCTGGTTTCCCTGAGGCACCAGGTTTGCATCTGGCATACAGACATACATTCAGACAAAACACTTATACACCTAAAATAATAAATAAGTAAACTCTCAAAAAATCAAATACAAATTAAAAATTTAAGGAGTGTCTCATCTAATTTAAGAATATAATCTAACCAGTGAGAATAATTCCCAAACTGAATAAGACAAGTTCTCAAAAGTGTTAAAATACTAGGCAAGAAATTAAAAATGGTAGTGGGAAATGGAAGAGGAGGAGGAGGTGGAAGAAGAGAATGCAAAATATTAAGAAAAGAAAAAAAAAAAAAGCCAAAGTCAGTTCTTTTAAAGGAGTAATGAAATAAAGTCTTATTTTTTTTAAATATGCATCAGTGTTTTGTTTGCATGTATGTCTGTGTGAAGGTGTCAGATCCCCTGGAACAGGAGTTACAGACAGTTGTGAGCTGCCATGTGGGTG